GGCTAAGACAGAACGGATCATCCAGAAGCACAGTGAAACCTAAACCATACAATTACACATAGGGACATAACAGGATTCACATTCTTAGCTCTGGGCCATCTGAGGAAAAAGGGAGCAGAAATCCAGACAGCCCTTATACTTCTCTGGTCCTGGCTGTTCATGCTTAGGGCCAGTGACTCAGTGGAAATCAGAGCACTTTACGTTTGCTACATGGTCAGTGGGCAACACACAAAAAAATTAGCCTGTGACAGGACAGCACCATGCACACACTATTTGCTGGAACTGTTAAATACGAAGGATGCTTTGAGCCACACAGGTGCATGCCTCTTAAAACAGAATGGTGTCTCTTGGCTAACATGTGGGGGAAAACTGTGTTTGGGAAGTGATACTAGTTCCCCAGAGAAACAGCCTGTTCTAACTCCATACACGGGGAGAGAGAATAAAAATCATTGGAACAAGAGCAAAAATAATTTAGAACAAAAATATCCTTACCAAGTTTAGTTTGGTACTCCAGTAACGAAGATATCTTTTTTTCTTCAGGTATAATATGCCTAATTTCCTTCCTTATCGCTCTCTGTTTTACACTGGGTTCAGGGAGTTACTGGATTGAGATTTTTGACAGCTATGCAGCCTCCTTCCCTCTCCTAGTCATTGCTTTCTTTGAAGTGATTGGGGTTGCATACGTCTATAAAGTTAAAAGGTAAGTTGGAAACAGATGGCTTTTTTTCTTGTAAGAGGTAAATACCTTTTCCTCTCAACCCATGCATGTTACATACAGGTATATAATATCAACTTATTTCTGCAGCACTTAGGGTTCTGTGAATGTGAGTACCATTCTTTGTTTCAAATCTCTTGTACTTGTAAGACAGGAAGGATACTTTCCGCTTAGCACTTAATGGAAAGGGAGCCTAAGTGTAAAGCTTAACACCCACCCCCACCCCCAAACAACAACAAAAACCCAACAGGCCTTGTAGTTCCTTGTCCAAGAGGAGTTACATTGTCTTTCAAACATCCTCCTGTTACTGCCCTTTTCGTGTGCTACGTTATTGTATTTTTTTGTTTACTATTATTTGTTTCCCTTCATATTTTAAAGTAAGCAGCATGGAGTGGCTTCACCGTAACATTACAATGCTCAAGCTGCATACCAAAAATTCCCTCAGGCACAGAGACTAATTTGATTCACACTTTAGTTTAAAAGCTTTCCTACATCCTTTTCAATTGTAAATTCCAGAAACCTTATCTCATTTTGATTTAGATGAAACCTGTCCCTTCTACTCAGGATTCTTCCAGTCCAGCAGTTTCCCTAGTTCTCAGTAAATATGAGTCTTTTCTCCTCCATAATTTTCTCAGTAACATATTGAGACTTTACCTTTCCAATTCTTACTCTGGCACTAGGATCTTCGATGTCCTGATGCTTTGCAGATCCGCTTGTATACTGTATAGAGAACGAACACAAGTTTGGTCAGTGCTGTTGCATGTTAAGGAGTTTCAGGATCTCTCCAACATAAGTCTTAGCAGAGGCTGTGATTTTAAGAATAATAAACTGAAAACAAAACACAAACAAACACACACACTTCTTCAATTACAGCTAAAGTTCCTGTGTTATTCTCCAGATAACACACTGTTAAAATCCATGGAGCATTTCAGATGGTGATAACTCCCAGGCTAAATCATCATAAATGATTTCATGTATCTCTCTTGCTGCACACACTGCCATCCTCAATCTTACATGATGCAGGAGTAGCAATAAAATCTGGCTTCACATGCTACAGCACAGTCTGGATTCCACAGTACCTGTATTTTCTTTGGTGTGCTAGTATAACTATCATCTGTCTTTCCTCTTGGCTACTATGGAATATAAGCATAGTCAAATCACTTTTTTCCTGGTTCACGAGAATTTCTAATATCTCCAGTTGGATTAATAGAAGACAAATCTGACATATGAATACAGAAAAATCAGAATTCCTATTCCAGTTCACAAAACGTTTTCCAACTTGAAAGCTACACACATCATGTAACAAACTACCACATCCAGAACAACATATGTTGTTCTGCACTGTTTACTGCACATTTATATATGCAAAACTGTAAGAGGTATAAATAAAAGATCAGGTCAAATTCCAACTAGCTGCACTGACTGCAGAGGAAACGGGCTCAGGTTGCAGTAATTTTGTTTCTGAGCTGACTTGTTTTCATTTGGTGCTAGTTAATTTAGACTTCCTCCTAAGAAGCTATGTTGCCCCCTTGGCAATTTCATGGATTTTAAATGTTTAAGTTGTTTTACAGAGCTGCTAAACTATTTTGTTCACTTATTTGTGCTTAGAAAACTTAAGCCAGGTGCTCAGGTGATAAAACCAGACAGTTATATTCATCACTGGTAAGGATTTTGCTCCCTTAGTCCTACTTTATTGATGTTATTGTTTAATTGCATCTAAGGTAAGTTATTAAAGAAGGGTATGGAATAGAAAAGATTTAGGGAACTGCACCATGTGTTTACCTTATTAAAAAAAAATCAGAAGAGGGAAATTGTTACCACTTAGATCTGACATCACCATAAATTTGCCTCCTCTTAAAAGGTTCAGTAAAGATGTGAAATGGATGACTGGACGAAAACCAAATCTCTATTGGCAGATCTCATGGAAGTTTATTAGCCCTCTGCTCCTGCTAATCGTCTTTGTGGCCTTTGTAACTCTTCAGGTACAGAAGCCGCCAAGTTATGCAGCCTGGAACCCTAAATACGTACGTTCCCTAATATTTTCAACTTGTATATTGAAAGCCAGAGTTATATATTTTTCTCCCCATCGCATCCTTTAAGATCATCGCTACTTACTGCTACTTACTGCTTAGCTACCTAACGCATCCTGAAGTGATGGAATGCTTAGGGTGAGGAGCTTCCAGCATGCACAGATGTCACTGGGTTACAAATGCTGAAGGGCTTTCCCATTAATAGGGTTTCTTCTTGAGAAATCTTATACATATCACACACAGCTTTTCTTATAAATTAAGACGTGCAATGCAGAGAACTGTTAAAGTGAAATGTCTCACGGAAACACCACACTTGCATAACATTCAGAGGGAGCACAAATGTATGGGTACAGCTTTAAAACTGTACAACAGATGCTGGGGATGAAGACATTTCTCAGTGAGAACTACTAATATCACTGGAGCCTTGATGAACGTATGAACTTGTGACTTTGACTGGCAGACAGGGAGAGGGGCAGCAGTCCTAAAAGAGCATTGCTTAATTCAGCAGTGAAGACATATTAAAGCTGAAAACATTTGATCTGGATAGCATTGACTCACGTCAGTAGCAGTTTCTTGGATCCCTCTCAAGACATTTAAAATACACCCTATGTATGGGTTTGAAGAATGCACAAGGGCAGAAAGTAACCTGCAGAGGAGTCACCCTCAAATAAGAGGTTGAACCTTCACAGGACAAATACATGCATGGACTAGTACTTCAAGAGAACACTCTCTGCTCCCAAACCACAGTAGCAGTTTATGTCCTGAACTCCATTATGTATCTGTCATCTCAAAATAAAACTCATAGGCATACACTTGCAGAAATTGAAATTTCTGGTATTATCATCGCTTCCTTGAAATCACCCATATAGATCTTCCCTTACTTGGCAAAGGGCATGCTTACTAACTGCTAAAACCAAGTAAGCTTTGAGTACTTACAAAACCAATCAGTTTAACCAGAGGAGGGTGAAAGTGTGATAACTCTTTGCACAGTCCCTAGGAGTATCTCACACTTCCAACTATACATCTTTGAGACTATAAAACAATTACAGCCACGTTTAGACTCACGACAAGGGTATCCAGAGGACACTGAATGCGATCGTGCAGCAAGAATAAAACTTCTGTTATCTTTAAGACAGCAACATAAGAAAATGCTTATGAAAATTGTAGCAAAAAAGTAAGTTCATCTCAAATATTTCTTTTACTTGGTTTCTATCTCCATAGAAAGATTTCCCTATGAAAGAAGAGAAAGTATATCCCCCTTGGGTACTGGCCATCTGTATGCTGTTAGCTGTCCTCCCTTGTATATTTGTACCTCTGGTAGCACTCCTCCATCTGATCAAACGAATGCTCGGAAGCAAGAACCCAAGTTCTGTGCCACCGGAAGTGTTTTCACGTCAGGAGGCTAACAGCAACTTTTCTTATCCAAAAAAATAAACACATGTTGCATCTATCTGTAAGTAAAAATGAGACAGTCTTTATGTTAGACATGATTAACTGCAGTATGGTATCACACAACTAACATGGTTTATGCAGTTCCTATGCTTACATTCAGTCACTACCACTCTATACACAGCACTGCTGTTTCCCTTCTTCATTTTCAACCAATTTCACACAGTTAACAGCTGAGTTAATCTTGTCCCTCCTACAACCTGTACTGAATCTTACATACCAACCAAGTATCAGCTCCGTTTCCTTAACCCTTTTCACACATTACCGATTTCATATCTCTCTCCAGCCACACCTTAAAATTGGAATGCCCGCTAGCACGCTCGCTCGCTCTCTCTCTCTCTCCCTTCACTTCTCTTCTAAATAAACAGTTTGTTCCTAGGGATCAACTAAAAATTAAAATACAAGCAGCCACAGTTTCATTCAGTGACCACCTCTTAGAGTTTTAGAATGGAAGCTCTTGAAGAGTGAGGACTCCTCTTGTTTACTATATCCTACTTCTTGTAAATCACTTTATGCAGTTAAATAGTAGTCATTTTATGATTATTCTATATTCTCATGTATTGCAAAGAGCAAAATAAAGCATTAGCAATCATAAGAATCTACAGTAAGTAAACCTGAATAATCAGATTTGCAAAAATATATTACCTCAGCACTGACAGCCCAGCCACAAACCGATACAGATTTTAAAGCACACAGCATTCAATCATTACAGAACCCTAAGTGGTGAAACTGGATGTCAGCTACTTCATTTTTGCCTTACCAGAATTTATTGTCGAGGAAAAAACTGCAGGAAAAAATGTCCTGTGACCTCACAGGTCAGGATATTACAAAAGTCCAAGAAAAATCACTGATGCTTCTGCAGATGTATACTATAAAAGCTGTTGATGATGGCACTGAAGACTTCAATTGCCACTTTGCACAGGATGCATCTCCAAATGGCTGGACACCGAGAGGTAGGAACTGAGGTGGTGACAGCTACCCTCTTCATCTGGAGGACTGGTTTCCAGATGTGGCGTGATGATCCTTGCAGCATTGGTACAAGCTACTGCCACATAGCTTCAAAGGCAGCCTCTACATCCAAAAGTTTGATGCATGTTGCTAATTATCCTGGTCTATCAGATATCGCAGTCCTAGTGCTTGGCTCTCATCTCTCTGAAAGTTCCCTGAGCTGTGGCAAGGCTGTTCTTCACCACAGCCCATGGCAGGGACCTGTTCTGTAAAGCATTCCTCTCGCTGTCTGCTGTGTTGCTTCTCTCCACAAAAAAATGCAACTTATTACTGATCCTCAAGTAGTGTGGAAGTAGGTTTAGCTCTACCTCCTTTGCCACAGCCTGAGGGGTTACACCAATGGAAGACCCAAGTCAGAGGGCCACGTGAGGGCATGACCTAGACAAATAGAACAGGAAAAAGTAAGGCAGGGGACAGGGCCATTTCTGAAATGAAAACAACAGTAAAGGAGAGTTTTTGCAAATACTCTTCACTAGCGTTTGCTGGCGTGGGTATTGACTACTCATATCTTTCGTAGGGGGAGACAACAGCAAACTGCAGAGCCTAATAGGGAAGGCCATGCTGAGAACCAAAGGCTTGCAGGGCAGCCTTTTCTCTGACATAGCATCAAACCATTGTGAGTGGAGGTAGACCCTCTGGGCAAGACAACGTTTTAAATCGAAATGTCTTCACGTGACCACATCTTGAGTCACTGAACATGCCAGGAGCTTGAGGACAACTGCTTCAGCCCACTCACTCTTTTCAGTTACTGCTAAAAGAACAAACTGCTACTGAAAGCACAGCCTCTCTTTAGTGGGAAAGGTGTGCAGAAACAGGAAATAATGACTTGAAAAGAACAGACAACCTTTGTACATACGGCATTGACTCTTTCCTGCCCCCCTGAACTGTGCTAGCCAGTCTAATAAGAGAAATTAGATCTCCCCACTATTTCGTTCCTGGTTGCATCAACAACAGCATTACTGCTTTTGGTTGTTGAAGTCCTAGCTCTTGTTATAATATTAGAATACAAGCATAAACGCAAGAGGGCCTATTTTTAAAATACTTTCGAAAACTGCCGATTGTTTTAGAAGGGTTAATTCCTACAAGTGAGCTTAAGGGCATAAGCAAATAACAAATGAGAAAATCAGGCACACAACAGACAACTACCTGTCATAAATTAAATCTGAAAGGTGATGGTGATGAGTTAAAAAGGCTTCCATAAAGAATAAATAATTGCAATAGAATCAATACAACTGCAATTTTGAGCATATATTTATATATAGCTGTAACTACTTTTTAACCAGCTTAAAGTGCAGAGGTATACAGAGGCTCACGATATATTTGTCTCTATGAATATGGAGAGATGCCCACTAAAATCATATTTATAAAATGCATGTAGCAGGTTTAAACATTTTTGGGCAGAGATCTATCTCTAAAGAAAAACATACCCAACTAACATAGATGTGTTGAGAAAGAAATTAAACTACATATACAAGACTGAATTTCAGAGTCCATAAATCTACCTTGAGTCACTGTCAAGACACTCACAGGCACTTGAATTTTGAACTTCTTGACTTTTAAGCTGCTCCTTTCCATTCACCAGACGGGACACTTTGTGGATCACTGGATACAGTTCAGTCTGGGACAGTCAGAGGGAGGAAGAGATTCTTCATCTTCACTAACTACAACTGACAGTAAGGAAATGCACTAAGTAAAGTTACTGTTTAGCCAAAGCAGGCATGTAGAAAATGTGGTAAGTAACTCTTCCAAGAACTTTGCTTTCCTGTTCTCAGTGCGCTTTTGATGTGACCTCCACTAAAATTCCTGTACCAAATGTAGCCTTATTACAGTAAAATTAAGGCTACAAAAGTTTTATATCCTATGTATATGAAGCATAGCATCTTACAGGGATTTCTCTCTTGAATAACAGGACAGACTTTACTACTTGAGTAAGTGTGTGCCTGCAAGCATGAATCTGAATCTGTGTCAGTGTCTTACATTTTAAGCACTATTTCTGCTCCCTATCCTCCCAGTCTTACATCTGCAGATCACATGAGATCTTCTTTGCCTAATACTCTACCATGAACTCATACTGTCCTGACAGATGAGTCTTTTTCAAAACTGTTTTCCCTCCACCACTGTGCTAGAATTCTCCAGGCTGTAAGTACAAAGTGGATTCTTCAGGGGGGAAATCTACAAGGGACACATATAGATACTAGCTTGAGGTCAGCCTCAAGCAGAACCCTTAGCCCTAAGATAGATACTTGAGCTCCTTAATACAAATACAGATAAAAGGAAAAAGCCTCAAAAAGAGCCCTGCAACAACCCCCTAAAAAAAGGAGCATTGCAATTATACCCAAACAATAAATACAGAAAAGCTATAAGAGAAGAGCATAGGCTTTCTGGAACATATGCAGTTCTCTATGTTGCAGAATTTGACACCTAACTCAATTTGAGATGCACAGTCCGTAATCCTCTCCCAAAAGGAGGCAAAGGGGAGGAAGATGGGCTTGTCTGAAGCATGTGGATGCTATGATTTCTTCTAGAAGGGCTGATGCCAAATTTCTCCCTTCCTGCCCTACAGAGAGATACTTTAAAAAAAGATATTCAGCCCTATCACTTTTCCTCCCCAAAGCAGCCCAAATAAAGTCTATGGCAGGCTGACCCAGAACAAGGTTACACTGAGTGGCTTAGCTCTCATCAATCTTGCCTTCTCTTAAATATTGAGGCAATCTTAGCATCCCCAAGTCTTTTGCAACTTTCCCAGCTTTCTTAATGATTGTTGAAAATCCTCAGTAAAGGTTCAGAGTGCTCCTCAGCAAATTCTTTCAATATTTCCAGCCAAGTGTTTCATGTCAGCAGTTGCTGTTTAACATACTGCCTTATTACAATAGACTAGAAAATATTTTACTATCATGATGCATTGCTATTTCTTTAAGAACAGCTTTTTCCAGAAGTAACATTTATTGAGTATTTCTACGTTCTTTACAGTATAGACTATTCATTTTAGAGCACTACCTTTTTGAAAAAAAAATTCCACCCCCCCCCGCCAACTGTCCTGATCTATACCAGCAAGAAAAATTATACATTAGTTGCCTGTACAGACTGTCAGCTTTTCTCAAAATTTCTAATTTTTCCAGTTGCTAAACACATCGTAGTTTTGGTGTTATTTTCACTTGCCTTCTTAAATGGAAGATATTTTAAACCAAAATAGTCATCTTTTTTGATTTCAGAATTTTATTTGGCCTTGTTTACCTTGTGAAGCTGTTGCCTTCAGAAACACCAGATATTATTTAAAGCTGACGCATTAGCAAGTAGTTCTGGGGGAAAAAGGCAAAAAGATGTGCTTAGAGAGCTGCAAGGGTTACACTTAAGGCATTTCTACAAAATTGCACCTACAATTGAGAAAGCATTTGTAGTCTATGCCACTAGAACGTTGCAGTACAAAGTAAAAACGGGCTTACCCTACCTACCAACCAAATTTACATTTCCTGCATTCCTTAATGCAATAATAATCTACATGTAGTACATGGAAAGACAGATGAGTCCAATGTTAGTTGGAACAGGATGAAACATAAAGAGGAAAAAGTAAATGGAAAATGGGAAAATCTCTAACATTAAAGCCTGGAAAACAGAAGGAGAAAGTTAAAGGATACAGAGCTGAAGTTCTACATTAAAGCTTCTCAATAATAAGATTTCTGTGTTTAAGTGTTGTCAGTCAGGAAGGTATTAATAGAGAAGCAGAATCTGTCAAGAAAGGAGGAACTGAAGTGGAAACTGGTAGACCATCAGGAATATACTTACCAGTGAAGAGCTGCAGTGAAGAGGAGGAAAGCCCTGAATGCCACTTAGGGAAGAATCAGTAGATCTAATTTAAGTAGAAGATGCCCTAAGACTACTCTCTGTAATTATACAGAGGAACAGAGAAACCAGACCAGGACACAGCGCATGCAATAGCTGTAAAGAAGCATGAAGGTGCCCATTGACCTCAGAGCTTGACCCCAAAATTACCAGCAACTCTACTTGCTTCTGACAGCATAACCACTTTCGACATTATCTCCTAAGACTTGTAAATATTTAAATATTTGAAAATTAGAAGGAAATGGTTCAAATAACCCCAAATTTGCACCAGCTCTATTCCAAACTTGTCTTCCAGCACACTACTCTTTTTAAAGAGGACTCCCTTCCACACATAAAATTCAGAACACTGATTATTTAAATCAGCTATTTGGCTTGATGAGAAGACTGCATCTGAAACCCCCTATAAGATGCTTATCTCTCTCTCCTCCAAAAAGTCTCAAAAACAATAAAACCCAAAATGCCTGTAGCAAGGACAGCATTCTGCCACCTCATTAGACATACTACTGCCTAGGAAAGGACTCTTTATTAGGGACAGGTAACGAGAACACAAGAGAAGTGGTGTACTACAACTATGTACCATACTAGTTTCAAAGCTGTGGAGTAAAGTAGTATTTTCATTTAGAAAATGATTTGCAGGCTATATAGGAAAGTGGAAGCAGGATGAAGAAGTGCTAGAAATGGAACCTTGTTCTGAGCCTTCAGGTAGAAATAGCTCCATTCTTTTCTAGAAGGGAGCATGCTGAAAGACATTAAGATTTCCAGTCTCTAACACTAATGTTTTAATAAAACATGATAAATAGAACAAGGTATGTCTTGGCACACACACACACACACACAGAAAAGTCTGAACTTGCATCAAACTTAAAGGCTTAGAAATAAATTACTCATAATTGTCATGTTCTTGGAAGGGGGGAGAGAGGTTTTCTTCTAATTCTCTCCAGTCAGCTACTTGCAATGGTTTCTGCAACAGTGACAGATTCAGCACAGTTCTTGCTCCAGTTTTCCACTCTCGATATGCAGGACACTCTTTTGATCATCCTGGAAGCTTGCCTTGAGACTGCTCTTCACTGCAGAAAGGTTCCCTGCTCTTTCCACATGCCCATGGGCTTGTGAGATTATCTTTCAGGTTGCCCAAGCCTCTATTCCAGATAGTTCTTCAAAACTGGCGTGCTTGTTTGCTCTCAGGAAAGTGTTAGTCTGTTCAGCCTCCTCCTTTTCAGAAAGCTTATCCAGTGACCACAACAAAATAAACATATGTTCCTCCTTACTGCTGCCCACCAACACAGCCACCTCTAACATGACCTAAAATATGCACAGGGCTTGTGCCATAAGTGGTAAAGTCAAAATTTGTACCACCTGTGTCTACGTAAAGTCTTACATAGCACAGCAGAAGAGAGGAAAAGAAGCAGGTGGGAAGGAATGAACAGCTGAAGAAAGTCTGAGACAGGAATGAATAGCCAGAGGTAGGAATGGCTCCTTCTGAAGTGTAACCAGTTTTCCAGATGCTCAAAACTCATTCCTGTTATGGCCTTGTTGGAGTATCTGGCTGCCACAACATGTTCCAGCAAACTAAGCCTGAATCCCTCCTCTACTGCCAGGCCTCTCTCATGCCCCTTTGTCCATTTTGCTGTTTTCCCACCCCAGTATCACTGCAAGATATTCAGGAGAGGGGTAGCCAAATGTTTCAGTTGCTGGCTGGGGTGTTACTGGACGGATTTTCATTTGCTCTCTACTTTAGTAGGGGTGATAGTTCTACAGCTATTTTCTTTTTAATTTATTTTTACAGAGTCACTACACAGCAAAGAAAGCTGTATGAATGACTCTGTATGTATTTGATGATTTAAATTGAGCTATGATGTTAAACGTACACACTACAATACTGCAAACTGCCTTTTAAGAGCTGTATTACTGATCCCAGTTATCCAGGACAACTGCCCGTGTGGTGGTATTCTGTTATTCTTTGAAGACATCAGCTAGGTAATGCTGCCTATGTCGTGTTTCACTCCAGTAAAGCATCTTCCATTTGCTTTGAGAAAACCTCCCATTAGCTGCTATATGTAGCCTATAACAGAGACAGAAAATTCATAATAAAACTAGTTTGCATTAGAACTACGCAAATTCAGCATGCAAGTCTGGAGGAAAAAACCTATGGGCAGGCTTATCAGAGCAGTCATAGGGCAGAATTCAGCCCTGTACATCATGCCAACACCAGTGCTAGATAGCACCTTCAGTAACTTTATGAGGCCAAAGATAAGCCTAAATAAAGAACAGGAAATGCAAAAAGAGGAGTAATCTACTCAGTATCTTATCTGATGAAGGACTTGGATGCCTCTTGGTTTTGTAGGTATAAATGCAGCACCGTGATTCTGCATATTATTTTTTATTACAAATATCAGCAAGTGCTCAAAATATGTTAAATATACTTTAAACATACCCAGCTTTTGTGTTGAAATTTTGGCTTATATTTGTTGTGTTCTTCAAGGCATAAAATCTCTAACATGAACATCTTGCCAGGCAGAGCCATGAAACACATTTACTCTGTGCAGATAAGCGTCTTTCCAGACAGAGCTCAGCTGCAAGGGATGTTGAGGATTATTTTATAATAAAGGTATGAGTCAAGCATGTATTATTGCAATTATCCAGACAATTTATTATAAAGTAGTCTGCAATGCAGAGCAGCAGAGAACAGTTTTGCAAAAACACACACTGTTGTACGTATGAAAGCTGATCGGTTTGTACAGGAGATAATTTAAAGATGTCTTCATCAAGAATGTGGGAATTGTTGAAGGAAACAAAGTCAATTACTTCAAACAAACAGCCAGTGAAATTGTAGGAAAACACAGACAAGAAGATATTAACAAAAACATTTACTGTTCTTAACCACTTGTGCGATATCTGAGAAACAAATACGGGAAATTTCTGAGTAAAGTTGCTTTAAGCCCGCCCTACCAAAATAAACTGCAAAGATCTAAATTACATAGCATTTGTTTTTAAACTCAGAAAGATTACGAAGTAAACCTTAATCAATTAGTCCAAGATAGCTTTGAAGTCTTGACAAAGAGATGGTTCTGTCACTGTCTTCAGTAGTGCCATAGTATCCTTTGGGATCCTCCTGAATAGCTGCATTTTACCTATAAAAATATCAGAAACAATAAATTGTGAGTAACAACTCCATATTAGGGAAAAGGCTAAAAAGTTAACATTTTCATGAAATCAATACTAGCTCAATGCAATTAAAAAAGGTATGAGCAACATCTGTAATATGGGGATAAAAAAGGAAAAAAATCATAGCAAAATATGCTGTTCTCATTCTGCCCTTGAACCAAGCAGACAACTGCTAGTGAATAAAAGGGTTAAAAGCATATGCTAAAACATTAACAAACTAAGGAAAAAATCAAGGAGTAAATTCCTCCTCCTATATGTATATAAAAAAATAAATAACACTTTGTTTGCATCTAAGAATTTTAAAGATTTTTGGAAAAGTTAAGATCATTTTCTCAATAACTATATGCACCCCAAAAAGCTGTCTGTCAAGGGATAGTTATTTTAAAAGACCCTATTTTAAACAATGCTTAGGAAGAGGGACAGGTCGTTATTTGCTACTGCTTATTTTCGGCAGGAAATTATTCCCAAATTACTGTTTTCTTCTCCTCTACTTTCAGTATGGCATCAAAGGAGCTTAGCTTTGGAACTCGCATATTTAAAACAAAACAGCACCCGCACACATGAAGAATGCACCTTTTGCTGAAACATGGGCAACAGCAATTCTCCTCACCATATTTCTTGGTTAGAGAAGACAAGTTAATTGGAAAGCCACCCTTAGAAAATGCTAAAGACTAAATGAGGGTCTTAAATCAGGAATCAAAGTTTTATAACACGACATAATTTTGAAATATAGGAGGTAAGTGAAGCCTATGGTCAACAGAATTAAAGACAATAAAAAGGAGTTTTTAAAGATTAGGAAGAACATTTTAAATCCTAGCAACAGTTTAAGTCAGTTACCTAAACAGAGTTGGTGAAATTGTCAATGATGTAGAAAGACAGAAGTGCTCAATAAACATTTGTTCTGTATTTGGAAAGGAGACAGATGTATTTATATCTTATCATGATAAGAAAAGACTCTTGATCCCTTCCCCAATGGTCATAATAGGAAGGATGTTAAACAGTAACTGTTTAAAATACTTAACTCGGAAGAATGACGACAACTTGTTCTGAAGAGCCATTGATGTTGATATTTAACAAGTTTTGGAATACTGGAAAGACCCTCCTCCCTCAAAACCTGTGAGCTTGATATTGATTCCAAAGGAAAGTAATGAAAAGGCACGTACAGGGACACAAATAAAGAATTAAGTTTATATCAATTGCTGTCAGACGTTATGATCTTACGGGAGGAATAGGTTTTATGATAGCTGATACAATCTCCAAAACAACAGAAAGAGTAGTTGTTAATAGCACCTGTGTTGACTTACCAGACTTGGTTATCTCTGTGCTGCAGATTGCTGTGCAATAGAGATACGGAACTAACTTTACTTTACAGGAGCACATGGGAGAACCAATGACTGCTGTCACAGCTACTCTGACATCTACATATGCTAACCTGAGTTCCAGAAGTAAAATAGTGCCTAAAATAGTGTTTAAAATTGGCTCTGGTATCTCTACATTATGCTTAGCTCTGTGGTTATCTTTTCTACAGCATGACGTTCCAATTACAATATAACATTACACAGAAATGAATGTGCTGCAGGCCAAAAACACTGATCAGACTGAATAGAAAAATATCTATAAATGCATTTTAAAATGGATTTTTAGTGGGTTCCTGCAGGATTCCACCCAATGTTATTCAGTATCTTAATAAGTTTATTTGGAAGAGGATACAAATGTAAACAATATGCACATTCAGGGGCCTGAAAAATAGTCTTTATCAGGATAGACTTTAATTTAGCCTCCCTCTTAACAGAGAGAACAGCAACTAAGAGAAACAACTTCACAGAAAGATGAAAAATTAAGAGGCACCTATTAGTTCAAAGGTGAGGCTCACAAGAACACAGCACTGGCCTGAAAACCCACCTAAGACTGAGAACTGCTCAAAAGAACTCCGTGGCCTGGGGTGACGTGAGGGTTCCCAGTGCACCCTTCCTCTACATCTATACTGCTCCTTAAAACAGTAATGGAGCAAGCACAAGCACTTTCCATCCATCCTGCTTAACAGTGGGCACACAATGAAAAGAGCTCTGGATCATGCTAGCCAGTACTCTCCAAAACCATCAGCTCCTTAACCATACCTGAGGATATGTGCCAGAGGCCACTCTTAAGAGGAAGCATAAAGAAAAATCTGCATAAGGTTTGACTTACTCCACATTACAGTCCTTCCTCATTACTCCCGCAGGCTTCCTAGCGATCAAACAGCCCCGCAGGCCTTCCATGCTGCACCTTTGGCATACAACCCTTACGCTTAACTTCATACTGCGAAAAGACCACTCAGAGGAGCTGCAACACAGCCCTTGTATTTCAGACACGCTATGCTGAGAAAAGGCTCACACCTAAAATGATGTTATATCTTAGGGCCACCACAAGTACTCCAAGGGAAACAGTTGATGCACACAGTGTGCCGTAGTGCCAGCGAACAGTGTCCAGCTCTTCTTAGCTGCATAGGCATCTCTTCTAAAACCCAGGGGATAAAAGGGAAATTCTTCTTTCAATAAAAGAAGCATTTTTTAACTTGTCTTTGGACCTTTCCTGACCCACCTCCAGGATACACAAGTATGGTGCATTTTAATAGTTTTCCGCCAAAATTTAGTAAGTCAGGTTATTCAGTTTCTGCAAGGGGCATTCTTGCTAAAGGATCCAACTGACAGAAAGTCAACTCTCCCCTCTTGGGTACGGGACCGCACATATAGACCAACAAGTTTCATGTCAGTATTGCAGTTCGGCAAGTGGCTGTGATGGTACAACAGAAGGAACCTAGTGGGACCTCATAGATAGGGAAGACATTTTATTACACAAACTGGGAAAGATTTCAAACCCCCTTCCCAGTCCATTCCTCCTCATAGCCATGGTGGTATGGACAGCACAGATTCTGCTTTTATGGTATATACACATATACGTGAAAGATAAATTCTGCTGAACAAGAGAGCTTTCTGGGGTTGCACTCGTGCCCTGAACGTACTGTAGGTCACAACAGCAAAGGACACGCACAGAGGATGGGGGAGCTTCAATTTGTATCATGTTCCCTCGGCTGAAGTTCCGCAGAGCAAGACCCTCGGCACTAGAAATGGAAACTCATATGCAAACTCCACACGGATCTTAGAGAACTGACATGACTCTCAAGCAGTTATCCTACAGAGCTTAACTAGTGCAGTCTCTGCTCACTTCTCCAGTTTTGGCTCGCAGTATTTAGCTGGCAGCCACCTCCTTCCCACTGGGAGGATGGCCTGCTTCTCTCCCTCTGCTTCTAGAAAGGCTGAACTGGCTTCTCAGCAACAGTAAGCAGAAAATGTGCCTTTCTTCTTGGTATCACTGAATAATTCTCTAGGAGAAGCTACTGGAGTTCTGCTCAGGACAGAAAGTGCAGAGGACATGTTCGTGTCTGTCAGAAATGAGCTTGCTGCAATCCCAACTGTCAGTTGGTTTCCCTAAGAAACGTTCCAGCGTTCACACTCACACTGCACCAGGAAAAGTGCGCGTGCACCCTGGCTTTTTCTGTGGGCCTTTGATAAGGAAGGAAATGCTTCTTTCCAGTAAGAGAGCTGCTCTCTTTTCAGTGCAGTCTTAGCACTGGTACCAAGCTGGTGATACCATTAGACCAGCTAGTTACCCCAGTCCAGTAGGGGTTACTCTGGAATCAGAGTGAAGAATTTTTCAGTGTTACAAAATAAGCCCAAGTAATATCTTATTCAGAATGCTTAATAACACAGTCAGAGCTGAGACCTTTGGAGCAGTTCCTGCATCTGGTCTTCACTGGGGCTAAATTCAACAGCAGTTCTGACCTCTTCAGAAAAAACTACGGATGTTCACTTTTAATACCTCAGGATTCAAATTTCTATGATTTCCATGGTTGGCCTGGGATCTGATCACACATCTTGTCCAGGACAAGGGCGTACCCCAGAGGCCAGCCTTGTCCACTGACAGCTTTTTTCATCGAGTGGAGAGCTAAAGAAATTTGCCAACACCGCTCAACTTGATTGTGATACAACACATACAGTGCACTGAATACAGGGCTTCTGCCTCAAAGCCAGTGGTCCTCAACACATACAGTGCAATACAGGGCTTCTGCCTCAAAGCCAGTGGTCCTCAGTGTCACTTTTTTTTTTTTTGGGTAAGAGTTTATATTGTGGGAGGAAGTTATTTAATTGCCAGTTACTTTTTATTTTTTAAACAGAAACCTGAACATTCATTTTTCATTTAATTCAACCGGGTGAGAATTTTTATATGATTAATGCAAGCATATTAAGCTTTTTGAATTGTACAAACACATTGAGCACCAAATAACAATAAGTGTCCCTTAAACAGAACAAGGCTATAGAACATGCAGTGCTGAAACAACATACCATTTTGATTTACTTACTTAAGCATATGTGGATTTGATTAATATGGCCTGTACATTTTAGAAAAACATTTTATGAAAAGAAAACTTAAGAATTCTTTGAATTCTAAGTTTCATTACAACTGACCGTATTTAAGATGTAAAAGCAATAGAATACTCACATATTTTTAGGGGCTTAAGTAGGCATTTGTAAATAACCTTGTGGTTTGCCAGCTTGACAGTGAAGGCATGATAGCAAAGCCATTCTGCTGCCTCAGATGGAAACACACCAGATGCACCTTTGCTACCTAGAGGAATCCCTACAGACAAAACAAAAGATGTTATTGAAATGACGTGTATTCAGAAGTATGCGCATCCCCTCCCCACTTTCTATAAAATCACTCCAAGATTTTTTTTTTTAAAAAAACTAAAACCATAAACAGTCAATGAAGTACATGAGAGCAGCAGGCAACTAAAAAAGAAAATCTGAAACATTTTAGTATTTTCAGGAAATGGAGTTTCAGAAAACAAGTACACTTACTGTGACCCCCTACTATCCACTCCACATTTTTTTATTCTGGATCTTTATCTCAGAATAACATGATCTAGACATTCAAGTTTTGTTTTGTTTTTAAGAAAAAATAAATGAATTAAGTTATTTCATTGCCATTAACATACTATACCTGCATTTTTGGCTTTCAGGATAGAATAGCAGCATGACGCAGTTTCAGAGATAATCCTTAGGAAGAAATAAGGATTGTTTCTAACTTGCTGGTTAAAGGGAAGTTGGAGAACACATGCATGGAACCTGTTCATAAAAAGAACCTATTTAATTACAAGTCACTTGCAATTTAACGTGAAAGTACAATTTCATACCTTAAGCACTATACAACATTTAAAAGCACCAGATAGCCTTTAGCTATACCTACAATGTTAGCATATGACACCTCTCCTAAATACAAACCCGAGGAGTCTCAGATGCATAAGATCTCTCTTTATAAAATCTCTTCTGAAGACAATGATTGTCTTATGCTCTGGGAAAGTTACACTCCCTCATTGATGCCATGTCA